CAAGCCCCACCCCCATCTCCTACTCACTAACCTCATCCCGCCTCCTTTACCTGTCCGTCCTATCCCCTCCCTAACTCCCCACCTACACTCACCTTTACTGGCTCCAACCTCGCCTCTTAGACCTGTCTGTCTCCTCTCCACCTATCTTCTCCTCTATCCATCTTCTATCCGCCTCCCCCTCTCTCCCTATTTATTTCAGAATCCCCTTCCCCTCCCCCATTTCTGAAGAAGGGTCTCGATCCGAAACGTCAGCTTTCCTGCTCCTCTGATGCTGCTTGGCCTGCTGTGTTCATCCAGCTCTACACCTTGTTATCTCAGGATAAATTGAGACCCAGGATCAGGAGTCCAACACTTCAGGTTAAACCGAGCAGAAAGAAAGAAGTCAGTGACAGGATAAATTGAGGCCCAGGACTTTTTTTTTGTTGGGGGGGTTGGGGAGGACAGCCGACAAAGGGCAGTCAGCAATAGGATACAGTGAAACCCAGGATTGGGGCCCAATACTTCAACTTCAACCGAGCAGAGAGAGGGAGTCAGCAACAGGATAAATTGAGGTCCAGGATTGGTGGGGGTACAGCAACAAGACGAAGTCCGAGTTTAATAGCTGCAGTTTCAAGGGTCTGTTGATCAAGGAAACAAATCAAAAAGATATAGCAGGAAGGTGGTGGTATGATTGGCTTGGGATTTTTTTTAAAAAAGTGTATTTTTTGGAAGAACAGATTAATTGAGAAACAACAGGAATAAGTGAAAATCATGGCCAGTTAGTAATATAAGTTAGGGACATAAAGGTAGAGCACGACAAATAAGTTAATAATATTCTTACGTAAGCTTTTGTTTACAAAAATGGAGGAATAAAGGGGCTTAAGGAAAGTTATGGCAGTAGATCTCACCCCCATGATATTCTCCTCCAGTGCTATGTGGGAAATCATGGAAGTTTCAACTGTCACAGGTGACCACACGTGCAAGAAGTCTCCAGCTGCAGTTACTGGTGAACAGTGTTTTGGAGCCGGATGTGTAGGTGAATTAACTGTGGAGCATCTGCACTGCTGAGCATGTCATGGATGGCACATTCAGCGAGACAGTCACACTGGAGGTGAAGACTGAACAGGCAGAGTACAGAAAGGCAGGTATGCACGAATGAAAGGTCATCTCCCTTTCTGACATAACTACTGTTTTAGATACTGTCCAGGGAAATGACTGTGCAGGGAAAGCAGTCGGAGCCTCTGAAGGGGGAAGAGTAAACAGACAGAGATCACGGTACATATAGGTACAGAAAGGGATGAGGTCCTGGAAGCAGAACTGGAAGACCTAGAAGTAGATTAAAAAACAGGACCAATAGGTAGTAATCTCTGGACTATCTGTGGTGCCACGTGCTAGTGAGTATAGAAACAGGAAGGTAGTTCAGATAAATGTGTGCACAGAGAGATGGTGAAGGAGAGAGGGCTTTAGATTTCTGGGACATTGGGACTATCTTTGGGGGAAGTGGGACCTGTACAAGGTGAATGGACTGCACCCAAACCAAAATGGGACCAGCAACCTTGCGCGGAGATTTGTTAATGTGCCTGAGGACGGTTTAAACGAATTAGATTGGGGGAATCCAGAAAGAATATTCGGCATGGGAACATGAACAGCCAAAACTAGAAGAGACAGCAAGTGAATCAAGAAGGCACAGAAATTATAGGCCACTTAAGGCACAAGGGAGTTTGGAAAGGTTGGATGGTATTTATTTTAATTCTTCTAATCAACAGAGTATATATCTAATTTGTTATTTCATCATAGGCAATCAGGTTATAATTGTCAAATTGTCAAGCCTAACCCTGTTGATGCCCAGCGTTGAACTTGACGCAACCTCTCACACAGAAGACAGACTAACAGGAGTGGGAGAACCTAACTGCTACTTCCTTTCCATAGCCCACAAGCACCAAGGTAGACCTTGTAACACTTTGTCACTGGATTTATTGAGATCAGTTAACTGAGTGCTCATTAAGGATTACACCCTAGACCTTGAGGGTTGTGTGCAGGTAGGAGTTCCTGTGGCTTCAACAAAAAAACTTAAAGAACAGGAATGCTGATCCTGTTTCTATATCAGCTGAGCCTGAAAGCTCTTCAATCACCCTGGTTCAGTTAACATTAATGCTCAGAATGGATGAACCAGATATATCAATTACAGCTTCACTGAACCAAATATTCTAGGGCATTTGGAGTAACTTGCTTTGCATTTCAATATCTCCAGCACCATGGCCTCTCTGCAGGATAGGCTGCAGGCAGTTCCAATACTCTGCAGTAACAGATCCCTGCCACGTGGCACAGACAGGCCAGCTATATTTGGTACCTTTCTCTAGAGACTGAATGCTCAGTTACGAGAACACTTGATGGTATGAAATGTCATGCATATGCTACATCACTTTGACACAGTCCAGAAAGTCCAGGCTACGTCCTCAAGTTAACTATGTCTGGTACAGAATCATATAATTCCTACAGTGCAGAAAGAGAAGATTCGGCCCATCAAGTCCGCACCGACCCTCCCTCCAAAGAACATCCCACCTATACCCCCATCCCCAGGCCTCGCATGGAGGGTTTTTATCAACCTGCCACGATCCCCTACAATTTGCCTACCAACATAACAGGTCCACAGAGGATGCTTATCCCTAGCCCTGCACTCATCTCTGGAACATCTAGAGAACAAAGACACCTACGTCAGACTCCTGCTCATTGACTACAGCTCCGCCTTCAACACTATTATCCCCTCCAGATTGATCTCAAAACTGCATGACCTTGGTCTCAGCTCCGCCCTCAGCAACTGGATCCTCAGCTTTCTGACCCATAGACCGCAATGAGTGAGGATAGGTAACTGCACCTCCTCCACAGTAACACTCAACACTGGAGCCCCCCAAGGATGCGTCCTCAGCCCCCTATTGTACTCCCTGTACACCTAGACTGCATTGCCAAATTCCGAATGAACGCCATCTACAAGTTCGCTGATCACACCACTGTAGTGGGACAGATATCTAACAACGACGATTCAAAAAGCAGAAGGGAGATAAGGGTTTGGTGACGTGGTGCAATGAAAACAAACCATCTCTCAACGTCGGCAAAACTAAAGAACTGATCATCGAATTCAGAAAGAAAGGAGGAGAACTCGCCCTCATCTACATCAACAGAACTGAGGTGGAGAGTGTGAACAGCATCAAGTTCCTTAGAGTGACGATAACTGACGACCTGTCCTGGACTTCCCATGTAAATGCAATAGTCAAGAAGGCACAACATGCCTCTTCTTCCTCAGCCAGCTCAGGAAATTTGGCATGTCCATAAAGTCCCTCACCAACTTCGACCGATGCACCATTGAAAGCATACTGTCTGGGTGCATAATGGCCTAGTATGGCAACTGCTCTGCCCAGGACGGTAAGAAACTACAGAAGGTGGTATGCACAGCTCAGACCATCACGGAAGCAAACCTTCCATCCATGGGCTCTATTTACATTACTTGCTGCCGCAGAAAGGTGGCCAACATCATCAAAGACCCATCGCACCCTGGTTCTGACCTCCTACACCTACCTCTTTTGTCAAGCAGAAGATACAGAAGTCTGAACAAATGCACGAGCAAGCTCAGAAAGAACTTTTTTCCAGCCATTATCAGTCTATTGAATGGACTCTAGCCTCAAATAATGTAACCTGCAATGTAACCTGTATGCTTCTAACTCTTTTTGATCTGTACATCCTTTGCTTGCTGTGATCTGACT